GGGAGAAAAAATAAGAACTAAGATACATCATGTTCTGGTACAAACACCCAATGATAAATGTAAATGTATTTTATACCTAAAATGTACCAATAAATATATATATAAAAAATAAATAAAATTATATTTAAATATATTCTGTGACCAGTTAAAATAAATGTCTGGTGATATCTGAGATTCAGAGGTGGGAAGGAGCCAACTGAGAAGTAGGCATGAAGGAAGAGATGTCTTTAAGGTTCAAGGTCTTTAGGGTTGGGGACAAAGGAATCAAAGGAACAGGCAGATCTCTAAGAGAGGGTTAGAAAGTGCATTGTATTAGTCAGTGGTCCTGTCATCGGAACATAATACCTGACACCCACAATTGAAAGGTGGAGAAGTTTAATTTGCCTTGTGGTTTCAGGGGATTCTGTCCAGGGTTGGCTGTCAGCAAGGTGGGAACATCATGGTGGAAGAGCGTGGCAGAGCAAAGCTACTTAGTTCATGGCAGCCAGCAGAGTAGGGGAGCAGCACCAAGGAGGAAGGGGCCAGGGAACACATATATATGGTACCCAAGGTGGCACCTCATGACACACCCAGACAGACCCAGGAGTGTGCCATGCTGGTCCCCTGAGTGATTCTTAATCCAGTCAAATTGATAAATCATGATTAATAATCACATCCAGTGTGGAAGAAAACGAGATGGAAGGCTTTTTTTTTCAGTATGGGGGATCAAATTCATGACCTTGCTCTTGCAAGGCAGGCGAGGCACCACTGAGCTAAATCCCCGGCCTGAGATGGCAGTCTTTTTAGAAGCTGGAAATGTTCAGGAGTGTCGAATGATTTGGAAAGCAGTGATTAAAGTTCATTGATTTTGGCTTGAGGTGCATTTGGTAAGTTTGAATATATGGTTTGAGAAGGAGGGAGAGAAAGGACGCAGAGTCTGTGTGGTTTTGGAGGGGTGGTCGGGACTGTGTTAGGGTACCTGGGGATACAGTGGTGGCTGCTGATACCATGTAAGCACCACAGGAATAGGTATTTAATGGCAAAAGGAAGCTTACTTGATAAATGTTTTTCTACTGTTATTCCAAACAGGATGTGAACCAGGAAAAGGTGGAGGGGGAAACCATCAAAAGGGGAATAGAGATTGGCTGAGAATGTTTGGAGGATACAGGGAGTGGGGGTAGAGAGAGGAGATCTGTGACAGAAGGTGACATCCAACATCCAAGAGGAGACAGTGTGGTAAATTTCTCCGAGACACATAAAAGAGACATATGCCACTGAACCAAGAGGGCACTGACAGTCCAAAGAAAGACTCAGACAAGTTCAGCCTGGCAAGCAAATGATTTATTAAGGGTTACTCACAGAGTGGTGGAGAACGTGTGGGCTGCAGCACTACCATTCACCAACTCCCTTTTTCTAAGCTATTGTTTTTTTTTTTCCCACTGGTTTTATAGGTCTCTAATTGAAACACTAAAAGCAGGATACTAAAAAAGATGAGTCTTGCTGGGTGTTATAGTGCATTTGTAATACCAGCACTCAGGAGGCTGAGGCAGGAGGATCACTGTGAGTTTGAGGCCAGCCTGGATTACATAATGAATTCAAGGCCAGCCTGAACTACATAGTGAGATCTTCTCTCAAAAAAACAAACCAAAACCAAAACCAAACAAAAAAGGATGAGTCCTTTGAAAAAGTTACAAGTGCTCTGTTTCCATCTCATTTTTATTGGGAATTCTGCAGGTCTTCACAAGCACAGCTAAGCTGCAGAGATGGGTAACCTTGTGCTGCAGTGTGGCACACAGTCTCAGTGCCTGTTGAGGGCCTCCTGGACAGCTGAAGAGCAGCCCATACTATATGGAGAGTCACTTGGGCTAGGGTTCGAGGACAATTCTCCCTACACAGACCAGAGAGGACTCCTCAGAGGCTGGGAAGAAACATGATTGCTAAGTGTGGAGTCATAGTTGTAAGAGGAAGGGTTGTAAAGATTCTGGGAGGTCTTAGTGCATGGTCAGGTGCTGGGAGGCCTCACTATGGCGATGCCTAACTCACCTCCTCCCATGGAAGAGGCAGGGCCCAGAGGGAGAACAGGCCGCAAGAAGGTGTGGTGGAGCAAGGCCTGGCCAAGATGAGGACTCTATTACTTCCCGCTCATTCACCAGAGAAGCATCAAGCATTATCTCCTGCTACACTCCCAACCTTTATAAATTTTTATTTTGAGACAAGGTCTTCCTAAATTGCCAAGGCTAGCCTTGAACTTGTGATCCTCTGGCCTCAGCCTCCATAATAGCTGAGATTATAAACCTGCCCCACAGCTCCTGGCTAAATGAATAGTTTTATCAACCAAGAAAGTTTGAAAATTTCTGGAATAGGCCATTTAATCTTGAAAGTTTTACCATTTATTTATTTATTTATTTAGCCTAAATTCTTTTATTGGTACATTTTAGGTATACAATACATTTACATTTATCATTGGGTGCGTGTACCTGTACATGATGTATCTTGGTTCTTATTTTTTCCTCATTACCTGTGCGCCCTTCACCCCTCCACCCTTCCCTATTTACATAGACTTCGTTT